GGATTTATAAAAGGTGAATGCATCAGACATGCAAGAAATACAAGTGATTCATCTATCCTAACAGCGATTCTAGCAAACTTTAAGACACACTTGTCCATGAGGGGTTACTCTGATAAGGAAGTTGATCCTATTATCACTGTAATGGGCAAAACAAACAGAAAAAAGTACTTGCATAAAAAAATCTTGAAAGAAAAAAAGCGTCAACCAAATGTTATGATTACCAAATACAATCCATATATTAGGGGTTTAAAAAAACGCATTCTCAAACACTGGAACATCTTGCAAACAGACACAATTTGCAAAGAGACATTTATCGATGAACCTATAATCGCCTACAGTAAACACAAAAACATAGGCGAAATAATAATCAAGTCAAGCTTACAATAGCTTAAGACACATAAAAAAGGTGGGATCCTGATGATGGCGGGCCTTAAGAGCAAAAATATATTTCTCTTTAAAAACCGCCGAAACACTCTATGCTTCCATAATAACATTTTTATTAAATAACTCATAAGTGGTCTAGAGTGTCGGGCCCTAGAAGATTTACAACAAGCTTGGTTGATTGATGTCCTTTTTCAAAACCAGTATTGTCATGTAAACTTTTGTCTCCCCATTTCTTACCATCCCTGTTCCTGGGCCATGTTCTGAATCTTTAAAAAAATGTTACATGTAAATGCTGACCAATAAATATATAAATTTGTTGATTCGTTCTCCACACTCGCGAAAATATAAAAATAATATCCCCGTAAAATGAATTTCATTTCTAACAACAAATCTTGGAATTTTTTGTACTGATTTTATGAGGAAGATTCCATAAAATCTGTGTAAGCATTCCTTGAGATTTCTAAATGACAATCCTTTACATTCTCCCGGCATAATTAACTCTCAACGAGCTTGAAATGCACAAAAAGAGCTGAAATATTTTCACTATATAATCAATAAAGCCCCTCTCTTAACACCCGCAACAAATTTTACAATTTTAGAAGAGGCACCCCTCCATTTAACCGTCCACCTAGTTCATCTGCTTAATATACGAGGGGAGAAAAGATTTATAAAGAATTTGAACATTTTCAATATATGATCAATAGAATCCCACCCTAACTCCAGAACCCCTGAGCCTTGGGCCACGAATTTCACAGTTTTGGTAGAGAGCTGAATGCTTATTACAATCATACCAACAGTTTGACTGCTTGATGCCCAGGAGAAGAGAAGAAGACTTTTAAAATATCAAAATTTTGATGGTTTTACTCCCACCGCTCAGATCACAATGGTGTGTGTGTGTGTGTGGGGGGGGGGGGGGGGGGGGGGGTTCAGGATCCATGAAATTCATAAATATTTGTTTCCCTTTACTCATACTCCTAGATGTTATATTCCAAAATTGGTTGCAATTGGTTCAGCGGTTCCAGAGATGTTCAAATGTTAACGCACGATGAAAGACAAACAACGATAGACGAAAACAGATACATGTGTTGAAATAGATCAACTGAGTGACTCCGTTGGCCTAAAAAATAAAATATAATTATTATATCTACAGCATAAACGTATACAAGTCATCTAGAATTAACATTACAGAATAACATCTTGATTGATAAAACCCAGACGTTTTTGATCCGTACTCACACTTCCTAACCTACATTTAGACTCTTGTCGTAACTTTTCCTCCAAATATCCAAAATTGGAAGAACCTAGTTCTTGCACAAATGCGTTCTTTTTGCGTTCACAAGTTTTGTCTTCGGATTTGAAGGCTGAAAAATTCAATTTGACTTTTGAAAGCATGCCTTGATTATAACAAATCAAATATAGAATTGCATATTGAAACCCTGTAGTGAGAAGGTGATCTACTTTTATATGGTATATATTATATAAATATTGCATGTAGTTGAGTGTAACATTGAAAATTTTCACCCCAAGAAAACCATTGTCAACCGAGACGCAGCCGAGGTTGATAATGGTTTTCGAGGGGTGAAAATTTTCAATGTTACACTCAACTACATCCAATATTTATTATGTCATACTGAATGTTTCATACAAATACTCGTACATATAACAGTGAACCTTGCGCGCATAAATTCTTCGCAGGCACTATTTTTTGGAATATCACCCGTCGTCAAGCAATGTTGATTGTTGCTACGCTGGAGGGCGTGGCTTCATTTTTCAGCGGGTAATAGTGTTTTTAACAAATGTTTTTCGACGAATCAGATTCAACTAATTTACATGAAAGTATAATATTATCATTTAGTTTAAAACAATTAGTTTATTGACCAATTAAGGGCTCTAAAGGGGCAGAAAGAAGATACATTGTAAATACTCATAGCGGGTATATAGTCATATACATGTAATATAATTCACCATGATACAGTTCAAATCCCTAAATTAACCTTATGCATGGAAATGCCTCTAGTAAGAATCTAACAAGAGAGTTTAATATATCTAATTCTTCACAATTTAATACCCAGAATAATTTTTGTTTATCATGCAAATCTGTAAAATGTTTTACTTTAGATGAAATTAGGTTAAATAGTTCCTCTCTTTCATTTGAAAATTTGCTACAATAAATAAGGAAATGTTCTTCATCTTCAATTTGATTAAGCATACAATTTTTACATATTCTCTCTGTTCTAGGTATGTTATTATATCTGCCCAGTTCTATGAAGAGTCTGTGTGCTGATACACGTAATTTTCTTATTCAGGTTTTAATAAAATTAGATTTTTTTTTCCAGTCTAAAACTGAACTTCAAAAAAATAAATGACAAGTTTGCCCTCGTTTAGTGTTTCATTTGAGTACTGCCAATCCATTATTTTTTTTCTGGGATTGCTTTAATGAAGTTACAAATTCACTCTTAGCATATAACATAATGTTTGGAATATTAAAATTTCTTGATAATTTTTCTATGGAGGAAAGTTGTTTTAGGCGACAAAACTTGAACTTGCTGATCAGCTACTGGTACAATGTTACGTAAGGGTAGAGGTATCTACATTTAACGTGTTGTGACTTGCACAGGTGTCCTGTCAACATGGAAAGCGTTATTGAAGGAATGTTTTAAGTTTTGTGAGTGTTATTGGTGTGAAAATCACACAGAATTGTCACGTAGAAATATTTCATGAATCCCTCGCTTCAAGGTGTAAATTTATTGAACTTCTATTGGTGAAAATTCTTGAGCATAATATGAATAATGAGGGAAAAAATTAAAAAAGAAAGAAAGAAAAGATACTTTGATGAATTGTTAAATATTGGCGAAGTACTGCGATGACGGATGTTATCCACCCCGCCCCCCCCCCCTTTCAACCGTTCTTATAACGATTAGGCCTAGCAGTTAAGTCGTTGGTTCAAGATTCTTTTTACCATGCAGGAAAGTTAAGCCGCTCTCAAATATACTTTCTTAAATTATACGATAATCATATAATTTACCATGGAAGTATCACTAATGGGGAGTTGCGAAAACCACGAACTGAAAACAGAAAGGAAAGCGGAACGGAAACGGAAAATCTTATATAAAGTTACATATTTGGCACAGATATAAATCAGACAATAATCAGTAATTTTTCATGAACAATTATCACTATTCTAATTAATAATTATTAATAGAATGTGAATTATTCGTGTTTTTTTCCTCAGAGCAAGTATATACATTGAACGTACGATGCACAGGCACTTGTTTCGTATACGGGGCACCCCCTAATTATTTTTACCACAAGGTACCTAACTCAATTTCAGACACCCCCGCTTCAAGCTCGTATTTAGTTAATATATCCACCATTTACCTACTTTAAAATGACATCGTTGACTTCGAAAGACTTTTTTCTTGTCAAATTAATCGTTTCAGACGTCTCTGGTCGAGCCTCTTTATTGTAAACCACTCATTTCTTCCTCGAAAATTACCTCGATACAAAATAAGACTTTGAATGGTATGCAAAAGCTTCCGGTTGGGGTTATAAATGAAGGATAAAACCAGAGACCTCGGGATGGAATACTCGGAAGTCTCTGGTTTTATCCTACATTTATAACCCCAACCGGAAGCATTTGTATCCCAGATCTACTTTATGATTTTTTACTGAGAACTAGACTATCTATTTTGTTGACCCCTGATTATTGTACCGGTATTTTTCATGCTTTTGGGTAAACACGTCTTCATCTCTCAGTTTATTTTGTTTTATTTCATCCTTTACAGTGTTGTATTATACTTAGGTCACCGGTAAGGGCCTTGGGCTTCTTGTTTAAAATTATAGTTACAGCTCTAAATAGCTAAAGACTTTCAAACAAAAACTTGTTATAGACTTTTCAGCCCAATAATAAGCTTTATACTTCATGATTTTTTTTTAATAACCTAATTTTATTTTTTTTTTTTCAAAAAATGTTTCGTGCCACCAATTCATTCATACATATATCCTTTTCACATTCTACACTTCACTGTCTATCAGTACTTTCAGTTCTTTGATTTGTGTCATAGAACTTACAGAATTTCCTGTCATTTACTTGTAGTGCCGGGGGGGGGGGGGGTCAAACATTACCTTTCACTATTTAAAATGTTCATCGAAAGGCTGGGTGCCCCCGCCCCACTTTATCTTGCAGTTTGACAAATCAGCGTTATGTGATAATGTATGAATAAAAGTCGGTTGTGGAAGAAGTTGTATCCAAATATAAAAAGAAAATGATCAAAAGTTTTGCTCTTTTTTTTACAAGAATTAAGTCTTTTGACCTATATTTTTCTCAAATAGAACAAATCTTTCAATGTTCCTCAGCAGGCTGTCACTATGGCATACCTTAATTTGTCCTTGATCAAAACAAAATATCCTTTTTTGTGAAAATATTTTTTAAACATGCAAGATCAGCGATCATGGAATGCATTAAAAAGACTGCACTCACGTTCACATTCGCTCTCGCGTCAAAACATGCTGTCGTTACGAAATTACAATCATTCATTCATTTTTTTTTTTTCATAAACTGCGGAACAAATCCAGACGTTTAACAAAATAAGGATTGTAGCAAGAATAAAAATACGTTTGAATTTCAAATAATACATTTATTACAAGAAATACACATGGATAATGGGGGTCACATCATACATATATTGCTGCCTTAGAGTTCTGTTTTTGGTCGTTTGGCGAGATAATCCGCGATCTTGGGGAGGGACTGTGTGCTTTTTAAGTTAGCATCCAGCGAGGGGAACTTTTCCAACACATTCCCGTGTTTATCAAAAAGTCGAGATACCACATCCATAAAATAAATGTCAGCCAAGCTTAGCTGGAAGACAGAAATAAAACTGCATAATATAATAATTTTGAAAGTGTGTACCTTAATATGACACTTGTTTAGTTTGATTTTGAAAAATTAAATAAAATTATTTCTGTATATACGTGTCCTACTCTGTACCTGAGATCCTACGAAATACTTTCCACCATTGCCATCCAGAAAATTCTGCAGGATCCCCATCATACGGGGAATGGTCTCCTCCTTAAGTTTCTTGAACATTTCAGCCTAAAATCATGTAGTTTGAAATCAGTATTTAACTACAACGAAAACCTTGTATATACTCGTACATTATATTATAAACCGGGTACACAAACAATTAACCTAACACAGACCCAACACTTCATACTTTTAAACTAAGGCCGTGGTAAATAATTATTAGTTTAAATAATCCCTTTATTCTTTGAAAAGGTACTCACCAGTCAAAAAAACACATACATTTCAGAAAACTTCTCCAATAATTCGCAAAGAAATAAATTACTAATAATTGAGAAAAGAAACTGTTACAGGAGGTATTCTTTATTTTCAAGTACTTAAATCATGTTTAAAATTGTACTTTCAGACAATAGCATTTAAAGGATACACACACCTGAATTTTCTTAAAGATTTTGCTTTTTAACTTGGGATTTTTCTAAAACTAAGAATACTGTGGCCTTAAAAATCGAATTCAAATGGATTCCATTGTTTCTGAAAGTACCGAAAAAAAAATTGTGGAAAATTTGACAAACTTGTGTTTTTCCCCTGGGTTTCCTGAAAACCTACCCGCTTGGGGTCCTAGAATGAAGGATTAATTTACTCTGGTCTACAAAAAGAAAATCGAGATTTCTGGTATCCTAAAAGTGTGTATGTGTGTGTGTGAAAGGGATCCTACGACAGCTTTATGCTCCCTTTTTTACGCAGCTATGTTAAGGCTGTCCGAAGGCTTAATATGCATTAGATATATACTATTTTATTTTGAGCTATGTTTTGATTTCAATTTGTAATCTATGTATACATACACAGTTAAGTTGTAAAGAGGGATGAATAGGGTATTATAAAAAAGCATTTCCGTGATGTCACATGACTGTGTTGATCACGTGACGGACACTTATACATTTTCTTAAATGTTGCACAAAATTCGCATCGGCACAAGTGAAAAACAAAATTATTGTGAACGGCTTGTTATATAAATCAACTAAACGTATTCTTGCGTACATATAAAGTGCTGGGGGCAAGTCTGAATTTTATTTCTTAAGAAAATATTTCACGAGAAATTCAACTTACCCACATACAAGTGGTCATTTTCCACTCTTCATCTCAATTTATACAAAATGGGATAAATTACATACAATCCCCCAGCAAAATTCAGTTAGAGGACATATTTCTCTAGAAGATTCACACAGAATATCTTCAATTAATCCTTATTATTCACTTGTGCCAGTCTAATATACACGATTTATAAATTCTCACTCAGTCTACAGACGCTTAAAGGGGAGCGTTTCACATTCTTTTTTTGTAATTGTTTGAATACGTACATGTTAGACAAGAAAAAGGAATAACGATATTATACTGCAAATATGCACATTATAACAGCCTTAAAACAACAATCCAGACACTGAATTTAACATCAACCTAACAATATTCTACATTTGATGTGAAAGGAATGTAAAAGTTATGACACTTTCCCCGTCATATCTGCTCAAATTTGCAGTGACTTGACGTCATATGCCATTATGACGTCATATCTAGGTAGTTCAGAGAAGTTACTGCGACTGGTACACTGTGAAATTCTTCGGACAGCCTTATCCTAGCCGCGTAATTAACAAGTAATTCCCATTGTGATTCTAGACGATTATACACCTTATTGATAGACACTCTCCCAGAACCCTGATAACATTATCTGTAAAGTGTAAAAACAAATGGAATAGAAATATCACAATGCAATGACAGCAGGAAGTAAAATATTGACCAATATCCCAATACAGTATCTATCCCTACAAAGTTTCCTCCCTAACCCTAAGTCAAATGTTTACCTTTCTTTTCTCATCTGGTTCAAACACTGGTTTGATCATTTCCGTCAATAGGTCACTAACAGTGTCTACGACCTGGTCAATTAACAACTGATCCATACTGCTCTTTCCTGCCAAACCTGTCAGGAAAGAAAGATTGTAAAGAACTTGAAAACTATCAATTGAGTGATAGCCATTTTTACTATGATGTTTCTTGCCAAATCATTCATTATTTTTATGACAACTAAATTTAGATAGACTGCTTAAAAACAACAAAATTCAGGCAAGGGGGTGGGGGAGAGTAAGATATACGCCTGAAAGGGTTAACTATGAATGTGTATAAAAGATTTTTTCTTTAACTTTTCAGAATTAAATTCTTTACCTATTTTTCTTTGTATGATACATGAAAACTATTTTTAAAAAAGTATTATTACATTTATAAATAATTCTTCATTTTTTTCTGAATTTAATTCCTGATTTTTTTTTCTATTATCATTTGAATATATCTTCTTTTTTTTTAAATTTTAACTTCCAAGTGTAATTTTTTGTGTAGTACTAGCATATTGATTTGCAGGAAGTATACAGCCAAAGAAAATATTTATATAGCATGTTTTTAAATTTGATTTTGGTTGCAGAACTTGCTAATGTTTAAATATTAGATATATACACTCCCAGTCCAGCAGTTAGAATTTTTCGTAGTCACGCACGCTGTTGTGATTTGCCTAGATGAGAAATTCATGGTCTTGCACTGAGGAGATGAATGAAATTTAGGGTCAGAAGACACGGGACACTTTTGTGAGGGGATTTAACGTTAATCTGGTTAATGTTAAGAATAGGTTTGAATAACGCAATCCTTCTTTGACTGTGGTTTAATTACTACCAGTGTCCCTTCACGACTGACCTAGGTCTTTCCAAAATGGATTTTTTTTAAAAATTGTTTTAGGTGAAAAATAAAATTACGTACGTTACTCTACATGAAAATACACTAGATACGATAAAAAAATGAGTAGTGCGCTTATTTATTAATTCATTTATTTATTTTTGGTATGATTTATATGTCCCAAAAGTTAACGACATATATAGAGAGAAAAAATGAATTACCATATTCTCGTGCAAGGTATCGGGCGATACCAATACTCTGACAGAACTTTTTACCATCGATTTCCAATACGGGCATCTGACCAGCAGGCATGGCTTAAAGTAAAAAAAAAAAGAGAATTAACATATTGAATAAGTTCAATAATCTTTAAAAATTATCGTCGTTTTCTTCAACTGAAAAATTGGTTAACATATTCAATTTGAAAAGACCAGTGAGACAGAATATTTCCCCAGTATATTTCTGTAAGACATTATATGATACTTACTTGGTTTGAGTTTGGCCCATTCCTCGCGCTCCACTCTGTGGTCTTCGAAATCTACACCAGCCGCAACGAGCATCAAACGGACGATTTCCCCCCTCCCCTTTAAATTGAAGTAGTGTAGTGTATATTTTCCCATGATGTTGATTTCAAGTTAGTGTCCAGTCACAAATACGTCCTGCCCTGTCCCGTTTAATGTTAATCTAAAAGTTTAATCGTTTGTATAAACTTTTAAAGATAAACTGACCCATGAAGGGAACGTCTCAAAAGAACTTTTAATGTCCTTAAAAAGGACGCACGTTATGCTAATTTTCGCCTAATGGGTATATATTTCACTTTCATGGATTCCCTTCCGGACAATGGGAGGAACATGACAACACGGTGTTTTAATCATTTCGAACACTTAATTGTCATATTTGTCTAGTATTTCACATTCCTTGGACGAGTGATTAACCTCTAGATCAGTACAGAAGGAATTCATGGGCCCCTGACTTAATATTGTGGCGAAATTATCAAATTGCAATGTCACGTGAACTTCTGAAAAGGTTAATTTATAGAACAATAAATATTGAATTCGGTGTTAAAAAGGTCCCATATTTATATGTGAAAAGTCAACATTGAATTTTAAGAATTGCTCTACATCAAATAAAAATCAGTAGATCATGACTATACAAGACCTCTCTGCATCAAATTAATCTAGGGTCTACAAATGCAAAATTTGTAAAAAAGATTAACCGCTGCAACAGTAGAAGCGATCCTTAATGTTAGCAAAGTATAATGTTGAAATTCTACTGAAAGAAGATTTTTTGAAGCATTTACGTTACATCGCAAAATAATATTTAAGCAGAAGGGACAGCCAAGATATTAAACGTGTCCTCCCTCTCTACATAGAAATTCCAGCCGGTTTTATGAGGACGGGGTACTCTTGGAACCCGATGATATATGCACCGCTACAATAAAGGGATGCATCGCTAAAGGACACTTTGTTTCATTATCTTTCTACGTAAACAAAATGTCGATCTCTGTTGTTGATACAGGGTCTGTCCGAGTTTTTGATACCTATCAGACAGTCTAAACTGCATGTGGTAGCATAGATGAATTTATCTATCTCCTTGAAACTGCCCACTCTTGCAACTCTGATACGAGAAATAGTACCTTTTTGCAACTGACTTTAAAGCATTTTAAAATAAGCATTGCTTTACTAGCCCCATATTACGCGGGAAGTGTCTTTAGCTGCCGTTTTAATATGTAAATTTTACTTTTGATGCGGCTTGCTCCCACCCCACCCCACCCCCACACACTCTTGTTTGTTGCTGAAAGGTAGAACACTGGCAAATTCCAGCATGTTAAAAAAATGAACCGATTTTTTCATTATTATTATTTTGCTTGTCAATTTTTAGGGGGGAGGTTCCCTCTCAATTTTGAAAAACGTTGCTATAAGGACTTGTTTACTTCAAGATTTGTATGAGATTGAATACGGAATTATAATCTGCATATCCTAATCCACAGCCGGACCTCCCTGTCCTTGAGGGACTGTAGGACAAATACAAATCCTCTCGGGATATAATTATATCAGTATCAGAAAAGGTAATCTTATATCCTCATGAGAGTGAAGATCTAGTACATGACCTTCGTGCTGCTGGACTTACTTTTCATATCTTTTTGGCTTACAAACATATCTTTTATAATGAATTTCATGAAGAAAACAATTATCTATACTCTGTAGAAGATGTACAAAATATGAATTACTTAAAATGTTCATTTATATATCTTACTTGGGGGGAGGGGGTTCCTTTGGCACAAGAGTCATAGTAATTTCTGTTTGTACAGCAATTCTCATCCACCCCACTCCTTCTAAATACCTGGTCATTTTATTTTGCAAAATTTTACTTATAAGTTATTTAGCAGCTTGGAAAAAAAATTGGTTGTCAAATAAGCATCGGAAATTCAAGCGCATTTACTACAATATCCCAACACATACACGTACGCACGCACGCGTGTACGCGCATTTTTTAAAATTATTTATTTATATTTGTTATATTTTTGGTCTCTGATGGTTGTCTGTTACATCTATTACATATTCGGATGTTGTAAGTTTTATAGACGTTAATGGCAAACTAACAATTAAACTACATGTATATAACAAACGGGACGACTACCATCTTCTCCATCTGCAACGTCTCCCAGTTGTATACATGTACTATTATTCCAAAATCACCTGCATATGGTGCTTAAATGTCTCCAAACTGATCTTTTACGCAATAGCATGTTTTGAGAACGATCAATTTTTAAACCGAGGCAGGCTGCTAAAAACAAATTGATGTTACAAGGCTTTCTACACTCGTTAAATTCAGCATTTCGTTAATTCTATGGTCGTTATAATGACCTCATTTGCTTATACATGTATAATCTATCCTTGGGCCATGTTTGTCTGACGTTTCATACTAGCTGTTCGGCCATTTTTTTCTCTCTAATTTTCACAATGGATTACCCCCTTTACCAAGCTCACGGCTAGTGTGACCGGTCGAAAGTGGAAGCTCTTACTTTTCTTAGGTACCCACCCTGTTCACGATTCTTTACAGGATTTATGAGACTGTTCTCAGTTCGTTATCTTCACCTTTTTTATTGTTCATGTACATCCTCAACTTCATTGAGTTCAAACACTTCATTTTTCCCTATTTTTCATATTCGTATGATCCATACATTTTTCTTTTTATCAACATTACATAATAATTTCAAGAATATTGACAAAGAGAATGGTTTGGGCAGAAGGGACAGCTTATTTACCCCTCTCCCTTCATAACTTGTATCACCACTGTTTATTTAATTAAACACAGTGATAACCTAAGCTTCTTATGTAGATGATACCCAGTATCGGTCCTACCCTTCAGAAAGTTTGCTACACCTTGATAACAGATTCTCTTGTGCGATAAAACAAAGTCAGCCTTAAAACTGAAATAAAAAGACAGTATAGACACTTGATGAAATGGTTTACTTGGACAGATGTTCTTATTTTGTTGAGAATAAGGTTAAAAACCTAAAGTATGTATAAATATCACTTCCTATTGAATGGAAACCAAATTACATTGTAAAACAAGCATTCTGAGAGTATTGCATTAGCAATACTAGTCCCCTACCGGCAAGTGTAATCTGGTTCCCGTTAAGAATTGAAAATGCCATAATTCCGTCCAAAATCAATGAAGCGGGACGAAATGCAAACTTGATCTATAACTAATCAAAGTTAAGTCACATACCAAAAATCAGCTCAATATCTGAAAGCGTTAAGAAGAAAATTGCGGAAAACCCCTAAAAATTGAAAAGGCCGTAATTCCGTCAAAATTCAATGAAGCGGAACGAAATGCAAACTTGATCTGTAACTTATCAAGATACACTCACATACCAAAAATCAGCTGAATATCTGCAAGCGTTTAGGAAAAAAGTGCGGAAAACCAAGTGGGACAGACTGACAGACAGACAGAGGGACAGACAGACAGACAGACGGACAGACAGACAGACAGACGGACGGACAGACGGACGGACAGACTCAGAGGAAACCTATAGTCCCCTCCGGTTTCACCGGTAGGGGACTAAAAAAAGGAAAACTTAATATTCATCTGTCATTTAACAAGGAATTACAAAATACAGTATCTCACATGATTTTAACTACATTTCCAGGAATATCAAGAGCAATTACATACTGTAAACCAATTCGCGACGATTAATTTTCGTGACTGAGGAATTATTCTATACAAATACAAAGCAAAACAAGCATTCTGAGAGTATTGCATTAGCAATACTAGTCCCCTACCGGCAAGTGTAATCTGGTTCCGTTCCCGTTAAGAATTGAAAATGCCATAATTCCGTCAAAAATTAATGAAGCGGGACGAAATGCAAACTTGATCTATAACTAATCAAGGTAAAACCACATACCAAAAATCAGCTCAATATCTACAAGCGTTTAGAAGTAAATTGCGGAAAACCCGTAAAAATTGAAAAGGCCGTAATTCCGTCAAAAATCAATGAAGCGGAACGAAATGCAAACTTGATCTGTAACTCATCAAGATACACTCACCTACCAAAAATCAGCTGAATATCTGCAAGCGTTTAGGAAAAAAGTGCGGAAAACCAAGTGGGACAGACTGACAGACAGACAGAGGGACAGACAGACAGACGGACAGACAGACAGACAGACAGACGGACGGACAGACGGACGGACAGACTCAGAGGAAACCTATAGTCCCCTCCGGTTTCACCGGTAGGGGACTAATAAAGCTAAACTTTTACCAATTATTCACCACTTACTAGAAATAATCTTTTTGAGAAGTAAAAATAAAATAAAATGATGATAATTTACAAAATTTATTCAATCCTATTCAACTGGCAAAAAATATTTCGAAAGTAAAAAAAAATCATTGCACTTGAAAACTGAATATCAAAAACAACACACAAATCATAGAGAAATACTAGGTGTCCTCCTTGACAATATTTACATCTATAATGGTGGACACTTGTTCTACAAACACCCGCTGTTCTGCAGAATTCTCCACTACCGATTCACTTCCCACATCCATAATTTCTGTCTCAGACACAGGAACAAAAGTGACCTCTGTCTGTATATCACCTTTCATTGAGGTAAAGTTGACCAATTCAGATCCCTCTACAGCTGTCTCTGAATGGGGTTCCCCTACACAGCTCACTATGTGTGACCCTGATTCAGAGATGGGAATTCCCTCAGTCTGAACATTTCCCTGAATACTGTTCTGAGCAAGTGTCATGACATTTTGAGGAACAAAGGGTTCACTGGATTCAGTGATGAGTGGAATTTCTAGAACCTGATCAGCGTCAGATGACAGAAACTCAAGAGGCATATCTGAGCCTCCACTGATGTTAGATACACTGTTATCCTTAGCCGTCATTACTGTCTGCATACCATGCCACTGAAGACTGTTTCCATCTACGATGATAGGCTGGCTGCCATTGTCTGGTGCTAGGTGGGAGAACTGAGGCTGCATTCTGTAGACGTGGATAACGGTTTCCCCTGTTGGATCCTCGGGTTTGTTATAGACCAGAATGATTGGTCCCTGTTCATTGTTCTCTCCTTCTGTGTCTCGTATGGCCTGCACTATCTCTGACTGGTCCAAAGCTCTACAATGTCCTGAGCCTGCTGACTTTCCACTTTCCTCCACTTTTTTACCAGTCCTGTAGACAAATTAACTATACATTTTCAAGCATTCCCAGTCATAAAATATCATTAAAATAAAATAAGTCATATAAATATAATAAATCTGGCTGGGCAACTCTTAATGATGTAACAAATTTATCTGGCTGGGCATTGCTTAATCTTGTAACAAATTTATCTGGCTGGGCAAACTTAATCATGTAAAAATTTATCTGTCTGGGCATTGCTTAATCTTGTAACAAATTTATCTGGCTAGGCAACTCTTAATCATGTATCAAATTTATCTGGCTTGGCAACTCTTAATCATGTAACAAATTTATCTGGCTGGGCAATGCTCGATCATGTAACAAATTTATCTGGCTGGGCAAACTTAATCATGTAACAAATTCATCTGGCTAGGCAACTCTTAATCATGTATCAAATTTATCTGGCTGGGCAACTTTTAATCATGTAACAAATTTATCTGGTTGGGCAACCTTGATCATGTAACAAATTTATCTGGCTGGACAATATTAATCATGTAACAAATTTATCTGGCTGGGTAACCTTGATCATGTAACAAATTCATCTGGCTGGGCAACCTTAATCATGCAATAAATTTATCTGGCTCAAATTTCTCATACATCAATTTATCCCATCTATTCTAGATTATTATCTTCTTCATTGTATCCTATCTATACTAGATTATCATCCTCTTCATTGTAATATTTTTCAAAAAAAAAAAACATGCATGGTCATTATCAGTCATTTATATGTTAATAAACAAAAAATACTGTAGAATATTCAACACTGATTCATTCACAGAGCAGAGGCCATTTTTTATTATTATATGATCTACAAAATGATATGCTGTAATAATATAACCAGAAAAGTATAATTACCCTTTGGGCACCTTGGAAGGTGTAGGCTTTACAAAATCATCTTCATCATCTTCAAAGTCTTCATTGCTTGTATCAAAGTAACAAGCTACAAAATAGAATTGTAGGAGTCTACAAAACAGCATACACCAAATATTATGTATGGAAATATATATGGTTATATAAACATAAAGTTTTCATCCCCTCCCTGAATCTTAAATCATAACTAATATCTACAGTAAACTACATGTACTACTGGAAAACATAGGACAGGGTGATGATACATGTATGAAGTATTATATACACAGCAGATGGCCTTTTCTCTTTATCTATAGATAAGACTTCCTACTTTCACAAAATAAAAAAAAAAAAACTGGAAATAAAACTGTAATGAAATTATCAATGTATGATGATTGTTAAAAAGAAGGGACAAATTTAGGATTGAGCAAAAGTGAATTTGTCAATGAAAATATTTTCAAAAATAGCCATAAGCAAAATTGATAATTTTCCTGATAGTATTGAAAGCTTTTTGTCTCCTTTCAATCTAGGACAAATGAACAAATGAAACACAAGACAAAGTTCATATCAAAAGCTTGAAAGGCTTCAATGGCATTGAACATAAAAACAATTTCAAAAGTTCTTTTTGAATTTGATATAAAATTTTAGTTTTAAAGAAAATGTCACGAATGCAGTTTTGGGACCTTATGCCATGGTCCGAATAGATCAGGGTTCGAGATGACCTGTCACATGTTCATGCTGAATATTTGACTCATCTCTTTTCTGTTAGTTGAAGAACTATGAAGAATTAAATGAACTTGCATAACATCATTTTAACTGTCAATGTCTAAGCATTGTTTAAGTGACTGTATCTAAACTACAACCATGTCTCTGCTCTGCTACAATTATGAGTTACAAATGGGCATGGTATATGGTATAATATGAAATTGAGGAAATGGAGAAATACTGTAATAGATTGATAACTTTGGGGTTTTTTAATGATGAAATGGGTTTTAAGATTGTAAAAGTAAGGTTGAAATTTTGAAATTCAATGTTTTAGTCTTCCAGTATTTGTATTTATGTAATTTTGTGAATATTTTAGGGCCTGGAGGGTTGTTTCTTTTGCATGGTTATCCTTCCAAAATGTTATTCAGGTCATTTGATGCACCGCTTTCTTTAGAAATTCATCCACAACAACTATCACGTTTTTCTTGTGTCAAAATTGTAATCAATATAATTGATTCAATTTTATTTCCAAGTTATTATTTATTGTGAGCATTTTCAAAGATATTGATATATTGCCATTTTCTTTTGTAGATACATCAACTGACACCTTTGGTTGTGTAAATTCCAGTGGTAATTTTGATTGGATGCTGGCTATATGAAGTTCCAGCTCTGCTTGACGCCATAAAAATCATAAGGTGTTTCCTAATAACGTTTCTGGGCAATAACAGTTTTTTTTCTAGGTTACCTTTCCATGCAGGATATCTAGGAAAATCATTACATACACATAGCTTATCTGATAGATTTTTAAGCCCTAAATGTTTCCTTTACTCCTCCTAACACACATGTAGTTTTACTTGATAGTTTAGCCCTATGTTTTTCCTTTTTTACTCTGCCTAACACATATATGTAGTTTTACTTGATAGCTTACTAAGCCCTATGTTTTTCCTTTTACTCTGCCTAATGTATACATGTAGTTTTACTTAGTTTAATGTGGTTCCTTTTACTCTGCCTAATGTATACATGTAGTTTTACTTAGTTTAATGTGGTTCCTTTTACTCTGCCTAATGTATACATGTAGTTTTACTTAGTTTAATGTGGTTCCTTTTACTCTGCCTAATGTATACATGTAGTTTTACTTAGTTTAATGTTTTTCCTTTTACTCTGTCTAATGTATACATGAAGTTTTACTTAGTTTAATGTGGTTCCTTTTACTCTGCCTAATGTATACATGTAGTTTTACTTAGTTTAATGTGGTTCCTTTTACTCTGCCTAATGTATACATGTAGTTTTACTTAGTTTAATGTGGTTCCTTTTACTCTGTCTAATGTATACATGTAGTTTTACTTAGTTTAATGTGGTTCCTTTTACTCTGCCTAATGTATACATGTAGTTTTACTTAGTTTAATGTTTTTCCTTCTACTCTGTCTAATGTATACATGTAGTTTTACTTAGTTTAATGTGGTTCCTTTTACTCTGCCTAATGTATACATGTAGTTTTACTTAGTTTAATGTGGTTCCTTTTACTCTGCCTAATGTATACATGTAGTTTTACTTAGTTTAATGTGGTTCCTTTTACTCTGCCTGATGTATACATGTAGTTTTACTTAGTTTAATGTGGTTCCTTTTACTCTGCCTGATGTATACATGTAGTTTTACTTAGTTTACTGTTTTTCCTTTTACTCTGCCTGATGTATACATGTAGTTTTACTTAGTTAGTTTACTGTGTTTCCTTTTACTCTGCCTATGTATACATGTAGTTTTACTTAGTTTACTGTTTTTCCTTTTACTCTTCCTGATGTATACATGTAGTTTTACTTAGTTTAATGTTTTTCCTTTTACTCTGCCTAATGTATACATGTAGTTTTACTTAGTTTACTGTTTTCCTTTTACTCTGCCTGATGTATACATGTAGTTTTACTTAGTTAGTTTACTGTGTTTTCTTTTACTCTGCCTAATGTATACATGTAGTTTTACTTAGTTTAATGTTTTTCCTTTTACTCTGCCTGATGTATACATGTAGTTTTACTTAGTATACTGTGTTTCCTTTTACTCTGCCTAATGTATACATGTAGTTTTACTTAGTTAGTTTACTGTGTTTCCTTTTACTCTGCCTAATGTATACATGTAGTTTTACTTAGTTTAATGTGGTTCCTGTTAGTCTGCCTGATGTATACATGTAGTTTTACTTAGTTTAATGTGGTTCCTTTTACTCTGCCTGATGTATACATGTAGTTTTACCTGACATTTTTTTCATCCCTTTGTCTTTCCTCTTACTCCTCCTAACAGAGCAGGACTGGGCTGTTGATTTTTCCTCAACTGGCTCCACTTTTTTAATTTTTGCTTTCTTTGTTTTTTCCTTCTCTTTTTCTTTCTCACATTTTTCCTCTTCTACCAACTCATCCAAACGTTTAAACACATCCATATCGAAAGGTTTTCTTTCCTCTGAAATTTAAGTTTTGCACTACATTGTCAATGCATAATAACATATCAATTTTGCTTAGGGATGGGTATCAGCAAAAATTTTGTATCGTGATATATCACGAATTTTTTCCAAAAATATCACGATAAATCGTGATATTTTTACACACAATTTTTACTACAATTTCAAATGAATTTCCAAAATATTTCCTAAAAATATGCTATAAAGATATAACTTCACTTTTTAAATTTTTATTTATTTAATATAAAGCATGTTTGGATGCCGTTGTTTAACTGTTTTCAACATTTTTTACACTTCCTGTAATTGTCATTCAATAGTTTGAACCAATAAATGAATAATTTTCGGAATTTATCGTTATGTACCAAATACCGGTATTTTAGTCTCCGTATCACGATGTGTATCACACAATAAAAAATCGCGATATACCGGTATACCGATAAAATCTTTTTGCTTCAAATGTATTGTATGACCTTTTAATTTAAATCAAGTGCATTTTTAAAAATAACAGTCTATTCTAATCTTAAAGTCAGATGAATCAGGCATTATTTGTTTTCTATGGAATAGGGGTGAAACAATACGCCTCCTTCACGATACAATACATACAATTTTGTCTCGGTTCGGTTATTTTCTATACGAAACATTTTAATAGAAGGAAACAAATTCAATGTTACATTATGCTTTGTTTCACTGAATCCAGTTAATTAATCTACTTGCAAATTAACAAGAAGTTGATCAGAATGAATTGACAGTTAAAGAGTATTTTACATACTATCAGTCCTAAAAGAATTCTGTTTTTAAAATTCAATTATGTGGAATAGCGTGTTTTACCTATGCCAAACCTGACTGAATAAGGATCCTGACCAAAAAATTAACCAAACCAAAAATGGAGATTTTGCACCATGTATCAACCTGAGAAAAAATGCAGCAGTGAATCTATACCGCGGTGAACTGTTTCGCCCCTACTATGGAATGTGCCCATTAAGACAAGTAACACCACACACTTCTCAATTTAACTTGGGCTTTATCTTAAAGCTGAAATTTGTTACCAATAGTTTAGAAAACAAAACATACATCAAATATCTTAAAGGACCACCTTTGTATATTTCTAAAGATTTCTCATGTAACAAAAACCAATTCTTATGACATAACCTAGTCGTTTAATGCAGACAACCATTAAAACTTTCACTTCTGCAGACAACCATTAAAACATTCACTTCTGCAGACAACCATTAAAACATTCACTTACTTAATGCCTTTTCTATCTTCCAGCGATTTTCCTTGTCTTCCTTCCTGAACTTTTTCTGTATTTTGATAAAAAATTTTGGTTTGTAAAATTCATGCATGTACATGTTTATTCAATTTAATCATAAAATTATTTTCTACCTCCATTTAGAGCTTCAGCCATACCATCTGAATTCTAATAATTTAAAAATAATTTTATCAAAATATATTTTTAAACAGTAGTTATAAAAAAATTAAATGATAGTTATGAGAACAGATTACCTTTAAATCTGTCCTAGTTTTGTTTGGGAACACTTTTAACATGAGAGTGAAGTCAGTACCTATTGAACTCAGGGCGTAATAAAACTTCTCAGTCTCTACAAAGCAATCAGATTTATAATTTCTCAAATTCTGCGGAACATACCCACTGTTGAAAAGTTTTATGTCTTTAACGATACTCTAATGATTCTTAAATTTTTATACATGGAATAACAGAAACTTGTTTTTAAATCATTTCAAAGTGTAACTTATTCATTATGATAATGAACAGCAAAAAAAGGGAGACAATTCATTTCAGAATCCTCCGAACAGACAGACAATCAGAAAAGGGGTCTCTGGGTATATGAGCTCCTGACCTTTGTTACTCCACAGCTGACGGGTACGGGGTTTCCTGAAGCTGGCGTATGTTGTTGTGTTCTCCGTCTCATTAATTGTTTCTGTTTCCTCCTCTATTACTGGCTTCTTGGTGTTCACTACCAGACTGAAAAAAAATTAAGATATCTATGACAAAAAAAATATACTGTATTATTCCTAGAATTGTTAATGCTGTCAATGGTTGTATTTGTGTAACTAATGTCAAACATCTAAAACAATGTGTTTCCCACAATTTGTAAGATGTACCCCAGCTATCATAACCATCAATCTGTTAGACTGTCAATATATAAATAGTGCACGTTTTTGAGGGTAACAGTTGAAATTGACACCCCAAGGAAAACCATTGTCAACCGACGCGTCAGCGGAGGTTGACAATGGTTTTCCGAGGGGTGTCAATTTCAACTGTTACCCTCAAAAACGTGCACTATTTATTTTATTATACTGAATGTCTTATTGATTTCGGATGTCAAAAGAAAAATTCGGAGATCGTTGAGTTCACGCTTAGAAAGCTTTCAGACTCCCCTCTTCTATTTTTCTCAATAAGAAAGCTTCGGAAAAGATTTACCAACCTTTTTATTGTTTGTTTGCTACTCAAAAAGTCCTTTATCGTCTAAAGTTTGCATTCGCAAGGATGTTTCGTCTGTCGTTTGTTGTTTTCAAGTAAGCTACATCGGACGCAAGCTTTTATTGACGTCGTTTATTCGGCTTCTTTCAAACGCACAACTGACGCTTTGAGAATTCTACGGTGAACCGTACGCGCATGATTTGAACGCATGTGATATTTTCGTAATGTTACCCGTTGTTAAGTGTGTTGCTAACGCTGAGGGTAACATTACGGATTGTTAAATGCGTGTAAACCAATCAGATATTAGTATTTAACATGAAAGTATAATAATAGAAATTGTTAACCTCTCGTATTAGAAATTTGATTACATCCTCATTAACTCCAAAATATCTTAAATACGTGTTTTAATTCATTAAACAAGAAAAATTAAGCATATCTTTACAATTATAAATCTTAGCTTTCAGATTAAAATTAAGGATTCTTACGGTATGCCTTTAGAATAATACTGTAAATGTATTTTTAATTTGGCATGTATGATATTTGGCAAAAAATTTATTTTTAGACAAGGTTAACATAGATTTAATTCAGCACTTTCTGAATACACTTTATGTGAATTCATATACACAAGACATTTAGCAATGTACTGTAAAATAACATATTTTTGTGGGGTCAAATTTTTGTGGTTTGAGGAAAAACTGTGGGTTCGTGGGGATTTGACTTCCTGGAAGAATTGTTAAGTAGTTATGTATATGATATTTTACATTTCATGGAGGACATGAATTCTTGCGTCTCTTCATACCTTGAAAACAACAAACATTAAACCCCAATGAAAATTAGTGATTTCACTGTACTTGAATTAGCAAAAGCTGCTTTCTGCGAAAGGCACTAAATAGAATACACAGCCAAATGTTGTATGTTAACATTAATTAATTACACAGCGAAATGTAAAACATTTACATAAATTACACAGCCAAATGTAATATGTTTACAGTAACGTGTGCTTTGTGTTCTGTGACAATTCATGTTTTCTTAATCATTGTACAGTCTCATTAACCTTTCTTCGTTAATGATCAGGCTGCCATCGGGTCCAATTTTGACCTGAGGGACTGGCATCGCCTCTTCTTCCTCCTCCTCATCCTCTTTGGGTTCGTCCACCTGGTTCTCCTCCTCCGTGGCCTGTAACAGTGGATTAATGGCGGGCTCTGGATCCACGCCCTTAGTAGGCTTCTCTGGTTTAATCTGGCTCCTATCATACCAGACCAGTTATAATTTACTTATGACATTTTTTTTTAAATATTGCAGATACATTTTTTGTATACAGTGAAAACTGTCTAATCCAACTCCTGTGCAATCCATTTCACTGTGAATTTCAACCTGTATTTTAATACCCATATAATGCTTTCTGTGTTCTTTACACTGTGAAATCTGATACCCTGTCTATTCTGACACAAAATTTTTCTCCCAATGCATGTTGGATCAGACAGGTTTCACTGTACACATTTGAAAAAAACCCTTCTCAATTTGATTTTTTTTAAGATATCCTTTTTTGTGCGATAATCACAAAAGATCAGCTTGGAATCTATTTTTATTCTCATATGTATGACAATATACAATTTTAAATTGCTGTTGCACACCAGTTTTGTTTCCTTTTCTATTTAAATCACACCTTGTTTTATACTTACGACATGAAATTCCTATTAGGGTTCCAGAATATGAGATCAGACATTTTCATGGAGGTTTTATCCAGAGGTGCATTCTTTGAGATGTCAATTTTTGTGTGTCTCCTGACCTAAACAGTCATGATAAAAAATAACTGTCTAGTTATCATCTAAAATAACTGTCTATTTATCATCTAAAATAACTGTCTACTTATCATCTAAAAAATTCTAAGACACAGAATTAAGCAGAAAATTAAATCAAATGACAAAAGTGGAAAGTTTCTTCCCTAAGAAAGGCTGTCTTATTCTTAACTTGGCACTAAATGAGCTCAACCTTGAAAAACTTACTTTTATAAGAAAGACATGCATCCCAGCCATAGATAGATGTAATAAAAATTATAAGTTTAGATGCTAATTTTCTGCTACTGCCTCTCGGGAATATATATACCCCTTATGCCAAATACTGATACTTATGAAAATGTACATCTTCTCAGATTCTTCTATAAATAAGAAATCACTTCTAGACAACCAAACAATATTACACAAAATAGATTATAAACATATGCTATTAAACCATATACAATAATTTTTTTGCATAAAATAAAAATGTGCTCTTTTTTAGACCAACATATCACAATATTACATGATGAAATAATCTAAGTCTGTATGTCTCGTTTGCATCATAATCCATTCCATTCATGATCTTGTTATCTGCACACTCTCATCTTCAGGAATGTTATTTGTGTTATATATCTATTCCTTATCATGTCTCTTTTACTTAATTATTTTTATCCTTTCCATTTTGCTTATTTTCTCATCAAACTGTTCATGGAGCAAAATCTTTACCGGATATTCAAAAAAGCCTGTCGAGTTTAAGTCAAACCAAAATAGCTTGATACCTTGACCAAGGGGACATGAATTGGACAATTTTACCAAGAAGCTTTATGCTTTTTTATCATGAAAATTTTGTCAGCAAGAGGTAAATGAGCTAAAAAGTATGACTTTTGAAGGCTGCATTAATCATGATTTTGGCAACAACCTTTGAACCCAGGGTGGGGAAGAGGATTATGAAATCCATAATTATTTTCTTTTTCACATAAACATCATATACTATACACTTAATATTGGACTGGTAGTAATAATTCATCTGTGTGTGACTCAGGTGAGCTAAATTTCAACCAAACCTCTGTACAAGAGCTCACTTGTTTTGGCTTTTCCACCTTTTCCTCTTTTTCTTCTGTTTGTCTCAGTATATTTAGTTCTGGCTTAGATATGTGTTTTACTGGAGATGGGCTAGAAAAATAAAATATTATATGAAGTCAACATCTCTATACATGGTATAAAAATTGCACAAATGAGAACAAATACAAACTTTCATTTTTTTTAGTACATGTATGAATTTTAGGAAATTTTTTGGATTATATTTTTCATATAATCACTAAATCACAATAATGTTCTGATTTTTGTTTACCATGATGGTAAGTTTGGTCGTGGAGGTGGTATGTTAGGTCTTGGGGGTGGGGACCTCAGGCTGGTGGGAGGAATATTTGGACGAGGTGACTTCAGTGGAGAAGGGGGACATTTAGCTTGGGTTTCGTCTGTGGCTCTGAAATGGAAGAGAATATTATCAGTAAATTGTCTTTAACCTTTAGTATTGTGGGTGATACAATGTAGAGCTGCCAACATCACAAAATGAAAAATCATAAGGTAGGGGTCTCAGGGGCGGCTTAAGCCCCCAGCTGCTGGAATTTGTTGTAAGTGGAAGTTTTGTGAATGGATGTTAGAATGATTTAGATCAAAGAGTGTATGAAAATTCCAGTAGTTAAAACTTTTGAATTAAAAAAACAGAAATCATAAGAACAGAGAAATCGTAAGACGTATTTTAGATGTACGATCCATACATCTTAAGTCAAAATCATAAAGGTTGGCAGCTCTGACAATGGTAGACAGTAAAAATTTGTAGTTTTTTGTAATTCATCGCAGGAATAAAACATGAAATCCCTCATTGAGAAGCACAGAAAGCTATAGATTCACTTCATAAAAAATAAGGCATAGAACTGCTCTGTCAATACGACCATTAATGAAGCCTCAACTTTACATAATTATAAAATATTAATATAGAATAAATTCTTGAATTATTAGATATGCAGTCACCATGGTCTCAATCAAATTAAGGATCAAGATCTAGTAAATTAGTTTAGACTGTGTTTTTTGGTACTATATCCATTATGACGTCATAATTGATTTAAACTTAATTTTTTCCCGTTCTTTACAGCTATAACAGAATTATGTAGAAAATGACGCATTTCATGGAATTCAATTTGAAACCATGTAAAAAGGAACCCCGATACCTATATTCAGTTTAATATTATTTTAAAGTAGAGGTCAAGAAGATATGAATAATCGTTTTCTGAGAGTCTGTAGGCAATATAGATACATGTCTGAGATGGAAAACTCTCATTTTTACACCTAATTTTCTTCATATTTCTTTGAAAAGGGCAGTTTAAAATACGTTTTTCCATTGAGTTTATCTAAAAATTATGTCCCGATACACCTTAATTTATTAAGCTATAATTGTAAAAGATTATTAAAGGAATTTGTTTCTCAAATTTGAGAAATCTGTAGGCACTCTTCATTTACTAGATCTTGACCTTAGATGCTTTACTTAAGAAAAATTCAACAGTTTTAGGTTTTCCAAATTTTATATGATCAACTTAGCCCTCTGTCTCTCTTTGCTCTCTGTCTGTATTGTGCTTGTACAAACATTTTGAAAAAAAAGATTTTCACCTAATCCACAAAACGATGAAAAACAAGAAGTCTGTGAGCCAATGCTCACTAGTAATACCCCCTCTTTGATGTGAATGTACACAAGATCAGTTATGGACAGACACAAGGATGAACAAGAAGTTGACATCAGATTTGTACAAATATGAATCCCACCATATTGCAGTCCTAAATAAAGAGTGTGCTAAAATTTCAAGCATCTGCAATCAATAGTTGCTGAGAAAACAGCGACCAAAATTTGTTATGTATGGTACAGACAGATGCATGGATAAACAGGAAGTTGACATCGCATTTGTACAGAAATGATTCCCACCATGTGGCATGCCTAAACAAAGAGTGTGCTTAAATGTCAAGCATCTGCAATCAGTAGTTGCTGAGAAAACTGCGACCAAAATTTGTTATGTACGGTACGGACAGATGCACGGACAAACAGGAAGTGGACATCGGATTCATACAAAAATAAATCCCACCATATGGCATGCCTAAACAAAGAATGTGCTAAAATTTCAAGCATCTGCAATCAGTAGTTGCTGAGAAAACGGCGACCAGAATTTATGTATGGTACAGACAGATGCACGGATAAACAGGAAGTTGACATCATATTCATACAAAAATGAATCCTACGATATGGCATGCCTAAACAAAGAATGTGCTAAAATTTCAAGCATCTGCAATCAACAGTTGCTGAGAAAACTGCGACCAAAATTTGTTATGTATGGTACAGACAGATGCACAGATAAACAGGAAGTTGACATCAGATTCGTACAAAAATTAATTCCACCATATGGCATGCCTCAACAAAGTGTGTGCTAAAATTTCAAGCATCTGCAATGAGTAGTTGCTGAGAAAACTGTGATGAAAAATTTGTTACGGACAGACAGACAGCTAGACATACAGACAGACAGACACACAAGGGTAAAACAGTATATCCCCCTCTCCTTCGGAGGGGGGTATAATAAGTAAAGTTACATTCAGTGTTTTCCCTTTAATTCAAAGTCAAGGGTTTGAGATCAATTGTAACAGGCTAGGGGTTGAGTTTTATGAATAAAATCTCTGTGGCCTTTATAGGCCTAACAGTTATGTTTTAAATTTTGATTTCTAAATGGCATTTATATCAATTGAACATTGAAGTGATCAATTTGGCTGGTAGCCGGTCCTTAGGGAAAATACTGATCAATACCTTCTAGGTTTTCCAGCCAGGTTCAGGTTGGGTTTAGCTTTGATTTTTGCCCTCAGTGCTGTGTACTGGGGTTTTTGCCCTTTGGGGCTTTTGATGGACTCCTCCACTTCAGTGTTTGGCCCTTTTTCAGAGGTAACCTTATTATCCTCAACATTCTTTTCAGGTTTCTTATTTTCTTTGGGTTCTGGATCTTTTGTTGGTGCTTTAATTGGACTGGAGATGGTGCGTGTTGGGCTTTTTATAACATCTGGAACTTTTTCCTTCTGTTTTTCACTTTCAGTTTGTGCTGTTTTTGCTCCACCTCTTGGTCCAATGTTAGGCTTGATCTGAAGTCTGGATCGCCGAGTTGCCATCTGTATATGTAATTTATATACAAAATTTAAAATATCCTTAACATTCAAAATTCAATCATAACTAGAACTGTCCAATAGGGACAAATACCCCCCGCTGGGTTTTTCAGAGAAAGTACCAAATCACTAATGTTTTCTAGATGTGAGAGGTGTTCACAATTTCCTTAAACATTTCCAGTGAAAATTTAATTACTCATTATATTTTTTATATGTCCGTCTTAAGACGGGACGTATTATGTTATAGCGTTCATGTCCCTCCGTCCGTCTGTTAGCTTTTTCATGTCCGACTCATAACTTTAATACTATTAGGCCTAGAATTATCAAACTTTTTCAGCTGATACATCTAGGGTAGAAGGTGTGTCACACATTAAAACCAGGTCGTTCTGACCTTTAATAAAGACGCTATGGCTAAATATGGAAAAATCATAACTAGAAAACCATTAGACTTAGAATAAAAAAAACTATGTCTTTTAACTTTTAAATTACACAATCCCAAAAGATGTCGGAGTATTGCAGTAAATTTATTAAAAAAGTGTTAAATCAAGAAAATACTAGTCTTATTTTTTTTCATTATGTTCTTTACAGCAATCTGTAACAAGAAAAATTCCACCTCTCCCATGGGTGTAATGATCAGGCACTGGTCAAGGAAAATTTTGATAGCAGAAAATTGCATGTCAAATTAGAGATAAATTAATGAGTTTAGTGTGAGGTGATAACTGGTAGAGCATCTCTGATCAAGCAGGTGTTATCTACATCTCTTGGGAAATGGGCAAAAGGAATCAGTCTCTTAATTAATTGCTTGTGTTGTATTGAATTGTTCTTGTTGGCTAGTCTTACTTTCAAGATAAATTTGATGTAATTAAAACTAATTTGATATTGTTTATAATAATTAAAACTTATATGATATTGTATAATATAATTTAAACTAATTATTTATTGTACATTTTTTATTTGAATTTTTATATCTTTACAACAAATTGCAGACTGCCTTGTCTCACTAAGATGTCATTCGACCAATTGAATCTAAACTGTTTATGATAATTTAACAATATTTGATGGGCGTATAATGCTGTGGTGGGGCACTTTATTTTAATGAATGAAACTAAGGTGCAGCCTAATAAAACATCAACACTAATAATTACAGTGTTTTTTATTACATTGAAAAAATAGTTTGCAACTATCTGTCATCTTTGTGAGACATGACACTCTGCAAATTGATTGTTGAAAAAAAAATATCATAATTAATTATACAAAATCAAATTGATTTTAATACCTTTATATCAAACTCATTTTAAAAATAAAAGGCTGGTTTTAGTAACTATGTATTTTGACAGACATAAATAACAATTAAGAGACTTAGACAACAGAGATCTTTATTTCTTTCTGCCCAATTCCCCGGAGATACAGATAAGACCTGCCTGATCAGAGATGCCCTAACAGCTTCCCACACTGAACTCATTAATTAATCTTTAACTGGATGCATGTCCACTCATTACTCCCAAGGGACAAATGGATTTACACTATCTGCTGTGTAATGTAAAAACTGTTTTTAATACTTTGTGGGGTTTTTTTTAGTTCTAATGAGTAGTTTTAAGCTGTAGTTCACATTTTTGTGCAGATGTTCTAGATTCTATGTCTCAAACCTTAGACATGAACTCGAAATGACTAAGTCAATAAAATTTTTTTAAAAACACCTGTAAAATGCAGAAAAATTATCAAATAATGTTGAAAATACCAGGTGCACATCTTCATATGGTAAATAATAAGTGTACAAATTTTCATACAAATCTATGCAATAGTTTCTGGGAACAGATCCAGACAAAACCACATAATAAAAATGAAAAAACACCTGTAAAATGCAGAAAAATTATTCAATCATAATGAAAATACCAGGTGCACACCTTCATATGGCGAATAATAAGTGTACAAATTTTCAGACAAATCCTTCCAACAGTTTCCAAGAAATGGTCAGGACAAAATCTCGTCTACAGACAGACGGACAGACGGACAGACAGACGGACATGATGATTCCAATATACCCTCCCTAAACTTCGTTTGCGGGGGGTATAAAAATGGTTTACAAAGTGGAATGACAAGAAATCCTAATAAGAATAACAACACAATTCACTAAGCAGCAGGCCCAATTTATAGGTTCTGATTTCCAGTCCGATAATAAATTTTCAATGTTTATTTGTTCGTTCCTCCTGATCTACTGCATTTGTGTGTGTGTGTGTGTGGGGGGGGGGGGGGGGGGGGTCTGTTGTTTACTCAATTTGTGTCTTCCATTTATCTATTGAACATTTTAAAAGCAATGTAAGTAAGATATTATGCCTGTTACATTTCAATATAATTATTATCAGACTATTTTTTTTTTTTATCCCAAAATGGGTTTCAAACAGTCTATTAATTTTTTCATATAGAACATCTTACTTACCATGCTTACTTTAACAGATAAGTAACACAAACAAACAAGAAACCCATGGGCCACATTGCTCACCTGAGCAGTGACTAAGAAAAAGCAGAAATCTGGTACCGAAAACATTAAATATATATTAAGTGATTTGTGGGGTGGAGGGGGGCTGATTTGTTGATACTTGAATATACACTAATTGAGGATGCTATCATATTTCTTCAACTAATTATGGGTTTAGATTTTTCAAAATTTTTGATCTTCTATTGTGGCCCCATTTTAGGGAATGACTTGAACAAATTTGAATCTACACTACCTGAAGATGCTTTTGATTTAATATGACTAATCATGGCTTTGCTGTTCTTGAGAAGAAAAATTTTAATCATTTTTTCCTACATCTTTCTATGTATAAGTTTGATCCCCTGTTATGGCCCCTCTATACTCCTGTGCCATCATGATTTGAACAAATTTGAATCTACACTACCTGAGGGTGCTTTTGATTTAATATGACTAACATTGGCTTTGTTGGTTCTTAGGAAGAATAGTTTTAATAGTTCTTATATATTCCCATATATAACTTTGATTGCCCATTTTAGCCCCATCCTACCCCATGGGTCATGATTTGAACAAATTTGAATCTATACTACCAGTGGATGCTTCTGTACAAATATGACTAATTATGGATTTGCTATTCTTGAGAGAAAGATTTTTAAAGATTTTTCCTATGTATTCCCATGTAGAGAAGTTTAAGACAAGATCGACGACATTAGACAAATGGTCAGTAAGCTCACTTGAGCCGAAGGCTTGGGTGAGCTAAAAATAGATGCATGGATTGGTACCACTATATATTTTTGACCAATTTTGAATAGAAATGACACAAATAATAAATTCCTAAAGTATAAAAAAAATCATAAGCACTTACTGGTATTCAAATTTGAGACTGTGTGCCATTTTCTGTATAAATCCATACAAATTTTGGCACATATTTTATGATATTATCATGATTATTACAAAATCTTGCAAAATTTCTACATTTACTCTGGGAAACATTATACAAATTATCTACAGTACAAACATAAATCTATTACACTTATTGCTGATTATTGAAAAATGTTTGTTTTTGCTACTTATCCTTAGAATAGAGTTATTCACAATGAACTGGAATTCAAATGTCAACAATGTGAACACTGACAGAACAATTACAAAGCTAGAAGAGGGCTTTAATGCTATTATTTTACCTTTAAAAATTGTACTTTCCAATACAAATCTATACTTTAAAAAGTCTCACATTTCCAGTGTTTTACTGAACGGTCCAAAAAATTTTATGTTCAACTGCTGAGTGAGATATTGGACCTGTCAATGAGAAGTAACAGGAGAGGAGAGAAAAGCGACGGAGCAGACCAGCAGGATTCGAACCCAGGCCCCTGAATCTCCAGTCAAGTGCTCTAAGAACTAAGCTATCTGGCCACCAGCGATCGAACCCATCTGACTGCCACATTCCTCCCTCCTTCAAAAATAAAGGTCTTCATCCCCTGAAGACACCAACCAAGGCTCTTCCCTGGCAGGTCTTTCACCTGTCACATCCAAGACATGGCACAACACTAAATGTAAAGGGAGAGGAGAAAAACGCAACGGACAAGACCGGGATTTGAACCTTGGCACCCTGAATCACCATTCAGGTGCTCTGCTGACTGAGCTATCTGGCCACCGGCGATTGAACCCATCTGACTGCCACAGCAGTGTGCGAAACTAACTTTTTTAAGCTATAGATAATTGGTCTACAATAATTTGAAATTCTATAGACCTGAGAAATTTCCTATAGACCAAAAAATTATATATCTCTGTTTTTATTTAATTGTATATTTTTGAATTGCTTATTCCTTTTTCTGTACACTGCATTATTTTAAGAATTGGCATAAGATACATGGAGGTTTATAACCATGATTATTAAGAAATAATTTGGGGGGGGGGGGGGTTTACACTTTGAACAGTAAATTTATTATGTTGAATTTTACAGATGCAGGGAACATTAAAATTTCTAAGAAGATTTCAATTTTTGTTAATGAAAACTTGTGTGAATAGGCAAAAAATGTGTTTACTGTAACATGTTGAAGAAAAAAATTCTAGGCTCTTAGGATATTTTTTTTCATTTGCCATATTGGTTTAAAAAAATTAACTAAGCATATTGCTGAAAATGAAGATGATTTTTTATCATTTTTATGTACTAGTTAATCAATAGTCATGCATAAATATCACTGAATTTAACTATCTTTCTATCCCCTTTTGCAAAGATGCATACCTATAGATTATAGAGTGAACATTGTTTTTTTTTTTTCATTTTAAAATTTAAAATGTATTTTAATTATATTTTTTATGTGATATAAATCAAACCAATACCCATTCTTTGGTTCACTGAGTCAGGGAATAATTTTATGGGATATTTAGACGTATCTACAATAAACAGAGGAATTGAGGAAATTCGGACTACAAAAAAATGACGATCGTTTTAGGAATAAATAAAACATGTAGTACTGCAAAATGGATTAGATGAAGGAGATTTATGAACAATAGAGCATTGAAGCTTAAGTTTTTCCTTGGCTGAAAAGTTGTATTGAGTAAAACGGCCAATTTTACTCTATAGACAAATCGGTCTTGAGATATTCACCTTGCTATAGACCGGACGCATTTTCTATAGATTTTGTTTATCGGTCTACCGTTAATTTCGCACACTGCCACAGAGAAATTGGACTGTTATGACATCACACTGTAGTCAAGATCAGCTATTTTATTTGTATTTGTTGACATTTGACAGTTACAGAATTGACCGAGTTTAATCTGCAGTGTGATTCCAATCAATGGGCATCCAAAGAAAACCCCCAGAGTCAAAGAGCTCAGCCCCCTATATTGGTCAAAAAGCCCACAATAAAATTTTATAGAAAATTGTAGTTCATGTAACAAAAAGCATTTTTCAAATATTCAAAGCACCCCCTTGATTGGTTAAAGCTGACAGTGATCAATTATTAAAAATAATCTAACAAGGTTTGGTCAAAGTGCCCCAATTTTAGTCAAATAGCCCTGTGAGTGTGATATAAGTTTATGGGAAAATAATGTTTTAACTTACCTATACAAAATAAATTTAAGTCAAAAATTGTCTTATCCTGTGGAAAGTTAATGCACGACGCCTTATTTCACATTCGAGTAAAAGGCCCTCTTAGGAAAACAACAAATTACATGGACATTTAATCATGTTCCAGTGGCAGTGTGTTAAACAAAATTTTGTATCGTTTCATCATCGACATTTTGTTTCGTATTTTTGAGATGTTGATCCCGATTGAAAAATAAGATAATTTACGCTGCACAGTATTTGAGGATATGCTATGTATATTCTTTTATTTTCTTGAATTGGAATGAAAGTATTGAATATTGTTTGTTGTTTGTCATAAATCGTTATAATAAGATGGGGGGGGGGGGGGGGCAAGGGCCTTACCGGTCACCTAAGTACTATACTAAGTAATACAACACTGTAAGGATCTACTGAAGTATGAAATAAAATAAAATAAAATGAGAGAAAACTATACTAAAGCAATACAAAAAAGGATGATCAGAGATCATCAAAATTGTTCGTCCAATACTCATTAGTATATCATAAATTAGATCTATTTACTTGCATTTAAAAGGAATCTTAATTATAAACTCCCTTTTCACTATCATTACGCAGACAATACTACAGTGGTTGAATGAGTGGAGTAAACCCTTTCTTCCATCACACATTGGCCTCACTTGGTCTTTGAAGAATAATACAAAGATGAGGTATTTTTGTCTAATTTTTATTTACAGTGTATCTATTAATTATGGTTTATACGTGTGCCTGACCATTAAAACATGAAAATACTTTGGTATTAAACATGTACATTGTACATTAAAAAATCTTGTTTAATTCTTTTATTCAATTTGACCTACATGTATTAATATTATTCACAGTAATTAAGCCGGTAGTCCGATCCTCAAGTTCTGAAAATCAGCTTTTAAGAAATTGAAAATGCTCACAAAAATGTCTCTGATTTCACAGAGTAACGTGAATTTACCCATGGTATTTCTTCAAAGTTCATCATTATAGTTAATCATATTATATAGGGAAAATTATCAAATCTCAAATATATTTTCAGGAAATGCCAATAAAAACACCAGCTATGCATTTTCTAATTGAAAATTGATCAACAAATATATATTTTAGGATTAAAATATATAGTAATCCAGGCATTTGGAGAAAATTTCATCTTTTTTATGCTTATAAATACAGTATTTTAGTTCTTCTATTTACTTCAATTGTTATATAATGCATAGTGTCAAATGCTTGTGCTATCATGACTAGACATCACAGATCACATCTAATTTCATATCATGCTAATAAGCATTGATATCTAATGCTAGATTAAAGGAAATTCGATTTCTCTAATAATGACTTTAATTATTTTTCTTTTATGTGGTACAAATGTCAACTTTTTACAAGCTGCCCGTTTCTAAGACTTCAAAGAATCCTTAATCATACTGAGATACATAAAATGAAAATTGTTGCATGAAAAGATCTCAATTTCAAGCTTCATTTTGAGACTTTTAAAAATAAAATAATAAATTTAAGAGTTATCCTTCCTAGCTGAGGATCGGATATCCTTAATATAGTATAGATGAATTATAGCAAAGGGAAATAACTTTTCTCAGCACTAAAACACTTGACCCAGTGATCAAGAATATCACATATCTAGGCAATATATACCCTTGCTCATTACAACTTTGTACTCTGTTTGCATCCTATATGCGCAGAAGAAGAGAAGAATATTTTCAAAGAAGTAATGCATAGTCAATAGAGCCCAGATCAATAAGCCGCATAAAGATACCTACAGGGACTTATCAGCCTATTTTGGGAAACGCCATTTTTAGGGCATTGGGAAAAATTATCGGCTATTTGATAAAATTGGGGAAAATAAAAAAAATCTTGCTATCGTAATGTATTCAGTTGTAATTCATTTAACAATTCAGCATGAACTCTAATTTGGGCAACCAAATTAACAGCTCGGACAATTAAATATAATCCAACTTCATCATACAAGATCAATTATGAACAATAATAAAACTAAATTTGACTTCAATGAGTGAATTGAACATAATTTATTGACAAAGTCAAAAGGATCGGGCACAAGTTCAGAAACTTAGATAGTCTTCTCCTAATACAACATTTTGTAAAATTGCCAAAATAAAAAACATATATACACATGGTCTACTACATATACATCGTAGTAATAGAAAGGAAAAAAAAGTTCTTTAAGTGTACAAGTATAATTTGAACTGGCAAGAAGAAAAAAAAGTAAGCTTATTTTGAAAAACGACCACATTCATTTAAGAAAGTTTGAATAGTCTTGAAAAGTTCAGCATTTTGTTCAATAGTATAAGAGAATCATCGCCCCATAGCATTAAATGTACATCTATAACATATAAATAATTAAATGACAATAGCTTATTCATTAAGGAATTCCTTGCTTTTACATAATGTCTTTCTGACATATTTTCTATTTATCAATAAAAATCTGCATTATGACTACTTTAAGTAGTCATAATGCAGATTTTTATTGATAAATAGAAAATATGTCAGAAAGACAATAATATTTACAAGCAAAAAACAAATGATATGCATCTTTAGTAGTCCACAAGAACAATTAGGACTGGTTATTAGGTTACAGCGATATAAGTCAGAATTTAAAATACAATTATGTCTTAATCTTGTATGAATTATGTTCCAAAACCTTTTTCCATATGAAAATATTTCTGAGGTTTTACAATACTGTCGTGCAGATAGTTTTTAAAAATTTTGATAGAAGTTGCCTCCCTTGTTTTAAGACTAAGGAAATTCCACTTTCTAGCAGTATCAGGAATAAATGATTTATTATATAGTTCTAATCTGTATTTTGGCAAAGAATAATTTAAGGAATTCCTGGTAGTGTATCCTGAAATATTGCCTCTTGTATCAGGTACTAAATTTTGTAAATAATTAAGTACTAAATTATTGTGTATTTTATACATTGTTATTAGTTTTGCTCTGTTTTTTCTGTATTCCAATGGTTCCCAACCTGTTTCCAAATATAATGAATTTCTTGAAGCAATAATTGTAAGCCCAGTAACTATTCTTGCAGCAAATAATTGTACTTTTTCAAGATTCTCAATGTCTGTTTTTGTGCATCCAGACCAAACTTCAACAGCATATTCAAGTTGTGGTCTAATAAAAGATATATACATCTGGGATAGAATATCTCTTGACACAGTAAATTTTAGTTTTTTAAGAAGCCTCAGTTTTTGTATGCTTTCTTTATAATGATATCAATATGATCAGACCATCCTAAGTTGGACGACAGAAGTATCCCAAGACGTTTGTGTTCTGTAACATATTCCAATTGGCAATTGTCAAAAAATAATTTAGGAAACTGCTGCACATTTTTTGAATTAAAAAATACAGCTTTGGTTTTCTGTGGGTTAAATTTCAATAACCATTTCTTTGACCATTCATCTAGTATTCTAAGATCATTGTTAAGATTTTGTTCAATGTGATTAATATTATCTGAACATAGTTGTAAGGAATTATCATCAGCATATAATCTACAAACAGATATCATATTTTCAGCCACATCATTTACATACAATAAAAATAACAAGGGACCAAGTACTGAGCCCTGAGGAACTCCAGCTTTTACATGTCCTACCAATCAATTGAGTAGGTGGCAATTGAGTAAATCTATATTATTAAACAATATCACCATTTTCAGAAAAACGGTGGAACATCGGATTAAAAGTCGGCGATGTTTAGTGTTTTTAAACATGTGTTATGACTGTATAGCTTTGCGAAATGAGATAAATAGAGGAAAATTACAGACAATCTGACAGTTTTACTAAGTGTTTTTCCAAGATAATTAAATATTAAAGCATTGTTCACCAATTGGGAAAAAATACTGTCAAATTGGGAAAAATTTAACTCATTTTCAATATTGGGAATGGGGCCGAATTTCTGTCCATGAGAAGGTACTGATAAATCCCTGACCTGAGACCTTATTCAGTTTTACTAGAATTGAATTTAACGAGACTGGTGTCAAATTTTATCTCTCAGCTTCTATTTTAAATTTACAAATCACTTTTGTAGAGTATGGTTACATTGTATGAAATGCTGGAGTATTCTGACTATAAGAAACTTTATAAACGAATTATTCTGTGCATTTTTGCTGTAGAAGTAAGATCTTTTTTATTACCGGTAATTTTATATTTACAAAGTAAAACTTCAGAACTTATTTACTTAATTACTTATAACCCTCCATGTGCTGGTTTGCACATAAGGTCATTTAAAAGAAGAAAATATCTTATCCTACTTTATGATTCCCGAGGGTTTCGGTTTGATACTGATATAAACACTGCTCTTCTACCTCAGTTTTCAAAACATTTAACCTGTCACTTATTCTTTGTCTCCGGTAAATCATGATGGACAACTTTAAGGACATACGCAACGTACCTTACCTACTGATAATTTCTCAAGATATTCTTAATTTAAGATTATAGTGCCATCAGATGTTCATAGACAAAAAATCAGTATGCATTACCAGGAGTTTTAAAAAGATATCAATTGATGAAAATTCTTGTATAATTCAAAGAAAAATATACGAAAATTACTTAACGTATATTCTAGATGTTTTGTTTATCCAAACTTGTTTAAGAAGAAGTGTACAATAGAATATATAAACATTAAAATGTGGCACAAAGTTCCTTTAAGTATTGGAACTCTTCAACTCCAGGGAAAAATACAATAAAGTTCAAACTATGTTGCGTATGACCTTAAGATGAATATTTACAGAGATGTCAAAAATGATCAGGAATTTAAATAGAATCTAAGCACTATAACTTAACAGTGACATAGAACAGTCTCTCTCAACCAATTAAATTTTTTCATGGGTTTCCTTATTTCACTTTGGTTAAAAATATGTTTGTTACTAGTTTAAGTTGTCAACAAATATTGACCCAAATTTATTAAAAAGCTAATATATCGTCCATTTACTTTATATCGTAACACTTCCTTAAAAGAGTTTGCTATTAAAGGAGGTCATATATTAATTATTTGAGAATATTACGGCATAATACTGGATAAATTCTGTATATATATATATATATATATATATATATATATATATATATATATATATATATATATATATATATATAT